CCAAGGAGTAATCAGTAATCGGCTAAAGGTTAATCAGATAGTACGGCTCTATAATGGTGACGAGCTAGCGTTCATTGAAAGAATCCAAACCAATTGTCTGTACGAAAAGTGGTAAGGAGTGGGTTGCTTACTTGAATCTAAAATAAAATAGCCAAGAAACGGCATATAAGACGAGATTGGTTCGTAGAACAAGGAGTATTTGTTGTGTTTCAAAAGGTAGGTTAGATTTGGGAGCCTTCTTAAATCAATAAGTGATTGACTGCGAAAGGAGCTTATTTTAGAACAACTTTGTCGCCTTCTCCTTAAAAGTCGTTACTTGGTGAGATGAGGCAGAAGGAACCTACAAAGTAGGTACTAGTTACTCGAAAATACCCTTTCCATAAGGTGATCTAAGGATGATATTGGGACAGTGTGGTCTCTCTCTGAGCACATAGTGAGTTGTTGAGTGAGAAGGCAACGTATTATCGTGAGTTTCTTCCCAGCTTAATTCACACAAAATTCTCCATTTCATTTACAAATTAGTGCACAGAATACCTACAACCATTCATTCTTATTTTAACACATTTTATGTGGCCATGAACTTCTCTGTCCTACGAAAATAAATTCACCAAAACCCAAACTTTATTTTTATTTTTTGTTTTTGTTTACCCATTGAACAATGAGCAATCGATTTTCAAAACTAACTTCCGGTGATCTTTTTTTTTTGTTGTTGTGTGCATATCAAGAGAGTTTGGAGACACCGCGGCGCGTCAGCTGGCGGCACAAATGGCGCACAACATGTCAACGGGCATAAAAATCTTTTCAAAAAATACAGCTACATATGTATATATGTATGTGGTTATAACATCTAAAGACAAAGCTTCCAAGCAATACAACGGTTTAGCCTATGCATGAGAAAAGAAAGCGAAGCGAGGTAGAGTAGTGCGATGCAGATGGTGGCTGCAACTCTGAGACAGCCAGCGCAGCGGATGAATGTAAATAAAAGCACAGAACATAATAAAAAAAAATGTGAATGGCAACTGAGAATTGGAAAATCATAAACTGAAACTTTTAGGGCAAGTAAAAAAAAATGAATATTTAAAAAACCGTTAAGCAGACAAAAATTAACGCGGCCATAGCGCACTATGCCCAAGCGTACGTCATAATCCCAACACTGCACTGTGGAGCAGTTCACTTTATCATATTTTAACTTTAGAACTAAAGTAAGGAAAATGAAAATAAAACAATTAACTTTGTAAAACCGGTTTTCAAAGTAATCGGTACTAAACTTTTCTCTTTTTTCCATAGCAAACCTTCACTGTTGCCAGGGAGAAAACACTTTAAATCGGTTCACAAAAAACCGAATTTCGCATAAAAAAGTAACCGGTAGTTGGTGCAAAGAATATGCAAATTTCTGTATGAAAAAAGATATCAGCATCTAAAAGAGATAACGGATTTATAATATCAAGAGATATAAAGAATGCCAAAGATTTTTTCTATAACAAAATTAAGCTTAGATGATAACAGACAAAAAAAATTATTTTTGGTACCGGTTTCCGAAAATCGAGCTTTGTATTTAATCAGTATCGGCGATCGGGAGAAAAATTATACCAGCAAAAAATTATTTTAAATAAATTATTAAAAAATCGGTTTTTGCAAAAAGTAACCGTCATTTCGTTTTTATAAAAATGTTCAATTTTTTTTCAAAACACTTAGCCCCCTCTGACCCACTATGCGCCTACTACCACGGTTTTGCGAAAAGTAATCGGTAGCTGGTTATGAAATATCAAAAGAAATATGCACTTGTGCAATAAATGAATAACAAATTTCGTTTCTATAAAAATTTTCAATTTTTTTGAAACATTTAGCCCCCTCTGACCCACTGTGCGCCTGCTACCACACTACTGAACCGTATTCTAAATATACCTGCCGGTCATTTTTAAATATCCCAAACGGTATTACAGCAAATACTCGTAATATATCCTTATATCCCAGCTGCCGTTGTGTTGGTGGTGATGAAAACACACAACGGTAACCGCAGTACAAATGCAAATGGCATAAATGAAAGAGCATGACGCGACGGCATACAAAGAGGCAATGCAATGGATATGCAGCGCGACGCAAAGCCAACTAAACGCACATACATACATACAAAGCAAATGCAGCCAGAGACGGACGCGACAAGCAAACTAAAATGCAAAGGACATGGAAGAGAAGTGCACGTTCATAGTTGCTGCTGCACTTGTAAGCATGTCACGCGATGCCCTCAGGCGACTACAGTTTGGTAGGAGATCGGCTATCGCAAAAGCGTGATGTAGCGGCGCAGAGAGCTTATTATAAATTGCACTGCTTTTTGCGAGCGCGCGCGCACACATACACACTTATTCAGCGCGTTTGTTACTGTACTGTTGACATGGTGACGGGGTGTTGTGTCGACGAATAAGGAGGTGGTGGAAAACTTGCTGTGTGAACGAGTAAATAGTAAAAGTTTTTCCAACGCTAACTGAACTGGCACGCCAGCAGGCGAAACTGGCATGGATAAATGTAAATAACACTCGTACATATATACTTACCCAGATATACATATACACATATATATTTATATTCATACATTGAAATGAAAAAAAAAACTAAACGAGCTGCGAAAATGTGAAAATGTGAAGAGGCGAAAATGGGTAATAGAAACAAAGAAAAAAAATAGCACTGAAACTGAACTGTTGAACTGGCTGCGGAGAAAGGGGAGCAAATCCAGGCGTAAAGCTGAATGAAAACCCGTCACGGAGTGTGATGTAAGCCGAGATGAATGAGAGAGATGAATACTCTTTCACCTTTATTCCTGGCCCAAGTCTTGCGACAATGAACCCTTTAGCTGATCCCCTGTGTTCGAAAACTGCATACTACAGACTGAAGAACTGGAAACTACTGAGAGTGGTCTTTCTCTCCCTATATATTTTTCTCTCTCAATTTACTGTTTCTACATATTTCCCTATAACCCACTCTCTCCTTCTCCATTTGCCTTTCTCTCAGTTTTTTTATTTTTCTCTTATTTTCTTGTATCTCTCTACTTTCTCTCTCTTTTTCTCGTCTTTTCTTTTTGTTATTTTTCTCTATATATTTTTTTCTTTTTATACTTTTCTTTATCACTCTCTCTCGTTTTCTCACTTTGTTTTCCTTTCTTCGTTTCTTTCGCTAGTTCTCTATTTCTACTTCTCTCTTTCTTTATCTTGCTGTTCCTCTCTTTCTCTATCATTATATCTCTATTTTATGCTTTTTTTCTTTTTTTATCTCCATTTTTCTTAATCTATCTCTTTAGCCCTGCCTTCTTCTATCTCACCCTTCTCTCTAGCTATCAAGCTCCATCTTTAATCTCTCCTAAACTTTCTCTTCCTTCCGCCTTCTCTTTTAATGAACATTACAATGCGTCGAAGGAGGATAGTCCTTAAGCCCACACTCACATCAGAAGGGTGATTCTGCGGCTCTAATCAGCTGTATAATATAAAATTTATATAGGGAACCGATTGCTCTGATAGCGCCTTCTCAAATTTAAGAGAGAACTTTCATAGAGGACCTTTTAAGGTCAACTCACATAACAATGAAGACACATTTTAGGTATGGCATGGTAAGGGATATTTTCGTTCTCCTGTGGATCTTGGGATTGATTTGTTTTCGGAAAAAATTGACAATAGAAGGTCCTTGCTTAAGAAAAACCCCGGGTTAAAGGAATTAAGAGAGTTAAAGGTTGACCAAAGAGAGGCTGGATCAGAACCTACGTGAAGTTGTACATCTTTACGCTACTAGGAGTTACAAGTTGCCAATTTTGTTGAAGCAGGGACTATGAGATATGGATAAAGAGTTTTAAAAATTCAAAGATCTCATGAGCGTACTCAAAGGAGCCTGCAAATGTATTGTTTTTGTCTAAGGAACCATCACGGGGTATTCTACGTATAGAGAAAAAGTACCTAAAATGCGTCAAGAAGCATGGGAAAATCTCGTCGATCACAAACTTGAAGGCAAATTGGATCTTCTTGGGCTTGCTAAGGCCACAAGAACAGAAGTGCCCATTTTGGAAGGACTTAAGCTTCAGGGATCAAAAATCTTACGATCGACCGTTGGTTTCCTGGCAAATTCAGCGGTCTAGCTCTAAAACCGCGAGCCCTGACAATCAGAATCAGCAAGAATCACACAACTAATGATCTGTTTGATATCAACGGTGGATGTTTCGAAGGACTATTCTCTACGCCAGTAGTGGTATTATTGCATATTATATTTACGAAGAGTACAAAAATAGCTCGCTCCACTCGTTCCAACCACCAAAGCGGTTATTTAGATAGCTGAAGTAAATATGAGCCAATGTTGGCGTTGTTGTTTCCGCTGCTACTGCAAGTGCTGTGCTGTTTGAAAAGGTTCTTATCCTTTTGTCAATTGTGTATTTGTATGCGACGCTGTACTCATACACTCACACGCGCACATACACATACAGCTGCATAGCCTCAAAATGTAAGGTATAAGTCTGTCTGAGTGCCTGCATTTAGACTTTTAATATTATTTTTTCATTTATTTAGTATATTTTCTTTTGCTCACCACCACCGTTAAATGCATATATAAATGCGTATTTATGTATATTCTTTCATATTTTCTCATTTACTTTTGCTTTTCACATTGCACATTTCTCGGGCGAGCTGAATGTACAACTAACAAACTATTTTTCAACCCACGAAAAATTTCTTCGATTTTTTTATTTTATTCATTTTCTTTGAATGTGTTGTGTTTGCGGTGGGACTGCTGCAAGTAGGTATGTATGTTTAAGTATTTGTTGAGTAGAATTTATAAATACATACATATAAAGTATATTCCCCACATTTCGCTGTGTTTCTGCTTTTTTTGTTTTTGATATTTTTAGCCGATTTTTTGTTTTACTTTTTACATTTGCACTAAATCGCTTCGAGCGCATTTCATTCATTCAGTCATTCACTCCACCGACCGTTCATTCATTCATTCATTCATCATTCGACAAAACTTACCTCTTTCAATTCCGGAAATGTCTTTTGCGTAGCCTGAAAATAAAGTGGGAAAGAGAGAGAGGAGAAAAAAGAGAATTAGTTAAATTAATGTTTAAATTGCGTTTTTTATTTCTATTTTTTATTTCTATTTTTAATTCTATTTTTTTAATTATTTTCTTCCTTCTTTCGGTTTGAAATGGCTGTTTGAAGTAGATTTCTGTACGAAGTAAATAAAATAAATGTGAGAGTTATGATTTCCGCAACACCTCCCGCAATCATTAATTATAAAAAAATTTACCATTATATCTGTATTATTTAATAGAGAAATAAAAGTAATTACGCGCGGGTTGGCGTGGAAATAGAGACTTTTAGATTAATTAAATCTGTATTTGTAAAGTTTGCAATACACTCGAGATAAATTATATCTGCTCCACCAGGTGCTGGCGTTGGCGGTGGGTTGGCGCTATAATAAACTTGAATAAAGTTGATTTAACTTTACAACTATGAACTTAAACGAATTTGTGTGCGAGTGTATTTCACTATAGAACTTTTTAAACAAATATATTTAAAGGATTCTTCACGAAAATATTTATATATAAATATTTCGAAGATTTTTTTTATTTTTTTTTCACTTAAACAAATAAATAATAAAGTAAAATTAATAATATAAATATAAATATAAATATAAATATAAATATAAATATAAATATAAATATAAATATAAATATAAATATAAATATAAATATAAATATAAATATAAATATAAATATAAATATAAATATAAATATAAATATAAATATAAATATAAATATAAATATAAATATAAATTTTAATATAAATATAAATATAAATATAAATATAAATATAAATATAAATATAAATATAAATATAAATATAAATAATAATGCAAATAACATAAAAATTAGAATTAAAATTAAAATTTAAATTTAAAGTTAAATTTAGATTTAAAGTATAAATAAACGTAAACAGAAAAATACAATAAAATTAAATAAGAAAATTAAGTAAACGAATATAAAAGAATTAAAATAAAATAATACACGAAAATATTCAAAATTTAACTAACTTAATTTAAGAACTAAATAAAGGAAAATTAAATAAACACTTTAATTAAATAAAACCTTAAATAAGTTAAAAAAAATTAAAATGAAATAAGATATTGTATGTATAATATAATAAATAAAATCAATTAAGGTAGAACAAAATCAAATAAAATAAATAAAGTTATATAAAATGAAACATAATAAAATAAAAACTGAATACAGTAAAATAAAATTAAATAAAAAATATAATTAAATACTCTGAAACGAAATTATTTAAAAGTAAATAAAAAAAATTAAATATAATTAAAGAAGTAAAATAAAAACAAAAATTTAATAATATTAAAATAAAAATTAAATGAAATATAAAATTAATAAAAAAGGTAAAAAAATAAAATTAATAATATTATATAAACCAAAAAATATTAAAAATGAAATAACATAAAAAAATCATAATAAAATAAATAAAATCTTTTAAAATGGAATAAAATCAAATGACTTAAAATATTCTAAAATAAAAGCAAAAAAGCAAATAAAATAAAATATAAACCAACAATTCATATAAATACACGTATCAAATGAGTACCAAATGGAAAATAGAGTAAATAAAATAATCTAATAAAGCGTCTTTTTTATCAAAAAATCATCTTGACTTATGAGACCCATTTCCACCGCGATGACTACGTTTGAAATAAGCAAAACTGTCTGATCTGGAGCTCAGAAAACAAAAACAACTGAAATTGTTTATTTCCTTGGAAATTATATAAGGCTTGGTGTTAAAGACAATATTAAGTAATAATTAAAAGAAATGAATTTGATGCTCTCAGATTAATTTCTTTTAACATTTTCACTTACAAAAGTCTCCGTTTCAGTCCACAATTTTGTGACTAACTTGGCTTTCACTAGAAAAATCCAAAACATATATTTTTTAATATCACTCCAATTTCTAGTCTTCAAATACAAAGAAGGAAACCAATCAGGCGTAACAGCTGTAAGAGTGAACAATAATATGGCAGAGTAATGGCAACTAGAAACGCAAAAAAAAAAAATAACTAACCGGTTCGCGGAGTTTGCAAATTATGCGCTTAGCTTACTCCCTGAGTGACTTGCTTTGACTACCCAGTATTTTTTCAATGCTTGCCTGTTGTTATTGTACATATATGTAGGTATATGTGTATGATTGTTGTTTACACAACTTACTATCTATTTATATGTATACATTACAGTTTTTCCTTTCATGTTGTCCACCTGCCACTTGCCTATTGGCAGCGTAAACATTTCCTTTCATCATTACTGACTCACGCTACCCAATAAACATGCGGAAAAGAAAAGCTCATGAAATGTTTGCTATAAGTTGTTTCACTTACTAACTTTTCAACTGTTCTCAAACGTTCGCGAGATGAGTGGCTCTGGAATATAAGACTCAATCGTTACGAAATTCTTAAAATTCTCTCATTTTTCTACGCTAAACGTTTCAAAGTAAACAGTTATGTTCAATAGTTTTTAAACTTTTCCTATATGCTGTACTTGTACTTGACTATTATAATGTTCGAGTATATTGGTATCTGTAGTAGTTATCGAAGTTTGAATGTGCAAATATAGTTAATTGAAACAAATAATTTACTAAAATTGTTTATTTATTTTGAAACATTCAATCAGAGTATAAATATCGTTTTAAATTATTAACAGTTCTTATTTGAAACGTTTGAAAGCGTACGGTAACCGGCTTATCATTATATTGTTCATTATATCTTATGCTCAAAGTTTCGGTAAATTTGGTAACAAACAGGCAAAATGTGTCGCTATTCTCAAACGTTTGCAAATGTTGGTTAATTGTTTTGAAACGTTTGCATTATGTCAAAAATTTCGTATTTTAAAATATTTTTTGGCAAATTCATAGATCTTTACAATTGTTTTGTGTTAACGAATTAAAAAAAATTGAATGCTATTAAATTGTTCTTCTCAAACGTTTGAAAACGTTAAAACGTTGGTGAATTGTTTTGAAACGTTTGCATTATCTCAAATATTTCTTTATTTAGTATTTCATAATATTGTTGGCAACTATTTAGTTCGTTACAGTTATTATCAAAGGATTACAAAATAAGGTTCTATTAAGTTATTCTCAAACTCTTGAACTTTTCTTTCTCAAAAGTTCCTGTTAATTGTTTTTTAATAATTAGTTAATTACAGTTCCATTGAATGTTTCAATAAGCAAAACATGCATATATTTATTGTTCTTAAACGTTTAATAGCTCGCAAGAATATTTAAAAATATATAGTTGTGTTCCCAAAAATTTGAAGAAATAGCTTTTATACATTTACTTAGTATTGTTCCTTAAGTTGATTTGTTTTAGAGCCTTTCAGAATATATATTGCAAGAACGATTGATCTTGTTTTCGGAAATTTATAAGCTGTTTCCAAACGTTTCCTATACTTAGGTTAGTTTAGTTGTTCAAAAGTTCGGCAGGTATATAGTTTGTCTCATTTGTTGTTAGTTATTTGGCGAATCTACAAGAAACTTCTATTGTTTACAAACATTTACTAAATATAGGTTTAGTGCAAATGTTCTCAAACGTTTAAAAAGAAATGGAGTTTACATAAATATTTTTTTTCTTTCCGTTTGTTACAGATTATTTGCTTTACATCATAATTTAGTCAAAAACTTGATAATAATACCGAAAAAAATAAATATTTTTTTAGCGAACGTTTAAAAATCTAAAGCTCCCACTTATTGTTCTCGTTTATATAATGCATTCTATTTAATTTTCTTATCCATCAAAAGTTTGATAAAAAAATGATTTTTGGTTTTATTATCAAACGTTTGAAAGAATACAATTCTCAAGTTTTAACATTTACAATAGTTTTCCTTTTTTTTTTTTGTTTTGTTTAATAGTTTGTTAAGAATATTTTTTGCAATTATTTTTAAACGTTAGGTAAATTTTACACTATCTTGATTCGTTCATTATATATTGTTCTAATTAATCATTCACATAAGATTTTATATAGGCTTTCAAATATTAAAAAAAAAAACAAATTTTAATTTTTTGGCAATCGTTCCCAAACGTTTATTATGTGTATTGTTCTTCAATGGTCATCAAAACTCGCATGCCAGTTTTTCAACAAACATTTGGGGAAATTTGCCAAAATAAGATATACGTACATATATATATAAATATACATATATACTTCTTTAAAGTTAAGTTTTGTTGTTGACCTAAAACCAAACTGTTTACTGGGTTAATTCTCATACATGGCTACCACCGTTTTATATTCCGCTGCACATTTATGCATAAACTGACGTTTTCAATTCGTTTGATTTTCATGTTTACACTCATTCCGTCGCGCCTCTTCTTGCATAGAGTTTTTTTTTATATTCATTCACCTGATTTGATTTCTCCTCGTATGCATGGGTTCTGTTTGTAATAAACAATATAAGCAGTTGCTAAATTAATTTTTCCACTTCCGTTTTGCATATATAATATATGTATATGTACATGTATACACACTTGTTTAACGGTGATATGTTTTGTACTCGTATGTATATTATGGCAGTCTGGAAGTGATGATGGCGGTGGGGTTGAGGCAATAAACATTTGCTGATTTTATGCTTATACGTACATACATACATATGTATGTTTGTATGGATGGAAGAATGAATTCGCATATGCATAAGTTGCTTGACTACATAGCTGTTGCGCTGGGACGCTTAGCTATCTTTAACTGTATGTACTTTAACTGTAACGAGCAAAACTCTATGCTGGCATACTGAAGTATATACATATGTATATGTATATATGAAAATAAATAGGAAAACCCGTTTATTTTCAGCAAGCACAAAAACTATGCAAAAAATCTAGCATTATGGACATACATATGCACATATATATATTTATAACTTAACATAGTAATACCCATTTATCCGTAATTTTATCTTTGCATGCATACATTTTTCATCAAATGATCTGCCAAACGAACAAATTACTATTCAAATGACTT